ATTTATTTCTGCCTGGTGCTTTTTTTTTGTTTTAAATTCTATGAGAACAGGGCTGTGTTCCTCTAAGGCTTATTTCGTTTAGAAATTCTTCAACCCAGTTCAAATTTATGTTGCTGGCAAATGGGTGGGCCCTTTATATGTAGACCGTGATGTAGCAAATAACTAATGTTTTGTTTTTGTTTTTATATTCGGATAATCAAGGCAATGTATGCGAAGGACTTCAACGTCGAGGAACAAAGTTCCTTCAATGAATACGACCTGCTGCTTGGACTATGCGCTGTGATGGACTTAAATGGTAAGAGTTTTAAAGCAGTTTTTGTTTTTATAATTGTTAAATAAGTTGTCAAATGAAAACGCACGCATGACTTAAGCAAATGGAGAATGTGACTGTTGCCATAACAGAGGAAAACCTACTCCTATATTTATGTTTTGAAACCTAGTATGTCTCAGTTATTTTGGCCACATACAAACTTGCCTTTAAATTGAATGGAAACCTGAGAATAGTAGTTTACTAAAATTACGAANCAAAGAGAAAATAATAAACCATAAAGGAACAAGGATGGTAAAGGATGGATTAACACAATTTACAAACGACGAACTTGACAAAGTTAGTGTTAGTGTTTCAAGATTCGCAAGATTCCGCCGCAAGTGTCAAATATGAAAATGCCTGCCATCGTGAATCCGCCATCTTGGATTTCAACAATTTCAGCTCAGCAAGATCACTGACTTAAGCGTAAAATTGTTAAAAATCAGTAAAAGCAAAAGTTAAATGAAACATTTCGCTGATATGGACAATCAAGTCACGTGACGAAACAATTGACAACTAAATCTGATAAATTTTCGAGTCTCGAAGTTTGAATACACTTGCTTGAATTTATTTAAGTAAGGAAAGTAGGGGAAAAAAGGAAAGCCTAAAATAAGTGCGGATGCTTTTAAGATTCCCCACCAGGCCCAGGCTTAACGGGATCAATCGTGCTTTGAAAAATTGGTTCCCAAGGAA